TTTTTTTTTAATTTACTTCTTAAGTTGCCTTAAAATCTTGATGATATCCTTTTATCACATAATACTTTTGAGACATATTTCTATTTTAACCATCCAATCTTAGCTCTATAAATTACATTCTCATTTATATCTCCTATACTTTTACATTCATAAATGATTAAAGAGAGAATTAAGTTATCATCTATCATCTTCCTCTCTTCAATTCACATATTTTCTATCTTTATTAGGTAGAAAAGTTTCATCCCGAAATGTCTTCTTCCATTGATTCATTCTCCACCTCCTATCTATTTTAGATGAAGGCTGAGACATACTTTCCCTTAATGAGGATGAATCTCCTTTTGATTTGCTCATGCTAGATCTGGTAGAATAATCAATTTTTCATAATGCCTTTTTAATTTATCTCTTAGGGGCATCTTCATCATTAAAATACTTCTCTGTAGCATTCTCCATATCTTGATTTGTTCCCACATCTGTCATCAATTAGCCTAATTGGGCCACTGCTGTCTCCCAAGGTAAAACTCCTTTTAAAGCTTGATTTGCTTGAGGAATGCTAGGTTTTTAATATGCTTTTATGATTCTTATTTTTCCTCTTTGTATGAATCTGTAAAGATTAAGTTTCTTCATTAAATCAAATCAACAAAGCGTATATATAATTATTTATATTGGAGCGTATTAAAGGTTCTTTAAACTAATATCCAACTCAAAGCCATCAATTTTGCATGCAGTCTACAGCACTCTAAATGAAGCTCAACATTTTTTCGCTAAATTTTTGTAAAATTTGAGTTGATGATCTAAATTTATGCAATAGAATTTCATATTTTTGCACTAATAGATATCAATTATTAGAATTTCATTTTAGCAATAAAGCCATGCCAAAGTAGATAAATCTAATTAGAGATTTTCTGCCTCTTTCAGATATCAAATTCAATCTCAAGAAGATCTCCAACATGATGTTAACAGACAACTCATCAATTGCCATTCTATCAATTGTAAACTCCATGAAATTGTAAATATGATTGTTTTTTTTTTGTAATTTTTTTTGAATTGAGTTAGTGGTTGGCTTGATGCAACTGTTGACGTAGTTGACATCTCTACCTATCTTCCATAATGTGAAATATATACATCATTTTCATCTCCCCTAGTGACCCCAGGAATGGCATCCTTCACTTTGTTTATCACATTATGAATGTAGCATAAGCCGGCCTTTTGTTACCACCTGTTAATATCATAGCATACAAGTTCAAGGAAAAGCCACCTATTACTATTAGCATACAAGTTCTAGGAGGAAGGACCTTGCTTGGAATTATACCAAGCTTGAATAAAAAAAGATCAAGAGTGAAGAAAGAACAAACAATCATCACACGCATTGCCGGGGACAATTTTTTCATCACAATAGGAGTAACAATGTAGGTAGTAAAGGGTCAATACTACTTGTCTAAGTAGAGCCTATTTGGTCAAGTTGGGTTTTCGTGCTTGCCAATAAAAAGATGTAGAACGACTTATTTGGAGTGTGGTGCTATGACTCTGCACAGAGATTTTTCTACAGAAGCGCTCTTTGATAGTAATTTACCCCATATTATTAAAGATATGAATAACTAAAATTAAGGTTAAATATCCTATTAGCCCTTGAATCAAGGGATACCCTAATTCTTTTTTATTCAAGGGGATGCCTAAAGGAGTTTTACATGTGGTTGGCCAAAGTTTTAACCGTCATCCTTGACTTGTCAACATTTCTTGGTTTAGTCATCCCTTTGGCATAGCTCTAATTTGCTGAACTGTACTTATGTAGATCGCCTATGACGACGTAGTTGGCCCACTATTTGTAGCTTACCTGAGAAAAATAGTTGAATTATATCTTGTGGCCAATCCAAAATGTTGGATCCAACCAACATATTGTTGTCTAAGTAATGGCTGGTTAATAGAACTAACCTTTAGGTGTAGTTGAGCTAATGCTGCTTGATGTAGCCATCCGTTTGGAGAAATTCCTTTTATAGATGTCTCTTGATGTCCTTGGGCTATTATTTTTTCAATTCTCCTGGATCATCCACTAAGTACTTTCCATAACATGTGATTTTTATGCAACTGAGTGACTGCATTTTCCTGGATCAATTCCCGTATGGGGGCTGTTTGGTTGGATTACTTTAGGGTGTAAAGCATTTCAAATATAAGAGTTTTATAAATTTGGTGTTTGGTTGGAATACAAAATGATGCAAAATAAAATATAGTAAATATAATGTAAAATGAAGTAGTTCATTTTGAGCATAAACCAAATTCCTCTGATTTTGCATGAGAACCGTTTGCACCCCAAGCTTGCTTGATCACCATCAATGCTGGCCGCCACCATCGTCTGCTGTTGATGGCTGTCGCCCTCTGTCGGTCGTCGCCACGGGCTATTTCCACTAGCTGCCACCGACCACCAAACCTGCCACCGACCACCACAACTGCCACCGACCACCACAACTGCCGCCTGCTGTCAGCTGCTATTGTTGGCTACTGCCAGCCTCCGACAGTTACCATTTAGAGCTTTACTCTACATTCATTACTTCTAACCAAATTTTAAAAAAAAAATCATTCTCCTGCATTTACTTTACATTCATCCAAACATCTCCAAAGTATTCTTTTTACACTGCATTACTTTTTCAGCCAACTAAATAGCACCTTAGTATTTTGGAGGGTCCATCCTTTATTAAATCTAGTTATTTTTCTATATTTTGTATCTTTAATTTGTGCTTGTATTCATTCATATTCTTATACACTTTAGCCCTTCATTCTAAAATCATCTCATCATCAGAAGCTTAAGTGGTCATATTTTATTATTTTTGGATGACCTTATATTAACTATAATAGAATAATTACTGGAGATAGGTGCATCTTCCTTTAGCGTGCTCTCGAAATTGCTAGAACGTATGTTCAAGCTTGGCCTTTATGGGCTGCTGCTGCTGCAGTTTACCAAATGCTTCTGAGTGATGCCAAATTGCCAAGGGTTCATAACAAGTTTCTTGGAGTTTGTTGAATTCCTTTAGCAAATATATTCTACTTTCTGCGGATTTGCTCATCTTAAGTGAATATGAACTACACACTCTTATCATAAGTCTTTTTAACTTACTTCATTGGTGATATCTAAACTTAGATAGTCTGGCTATAATTAAGTATCAATATATGCTTGGTTAAAATCTAAATTGATTGGTAAAATCGTTGTATGCATGAAGATGCCAAGATTTGGGTGGTTGTTAAAAGCGAGGTTAAGTCGTGCATGTATGAAGATAATAAGATTTGGGTGATTGATTCACGTAAGCGGGTTGCATGAGAAGTCTATGGTATTTCTTCTTTCTTGTCTATTTGTGTGTTCTTGATCCTTATTTTGAATTTGCGAGATAGAGAAGCTGCCCTTTAGAAGCAGATCTTTGGATTTGATGCTTTTAAGATTGTTGACCTGTTTAGCAGCTAATTGTTATGCCATAGAAATCACAATTGTTTTGTGGTAAAATTTGTGATAGCAATCATGATCCAAGTGCATTTTTGTATTGCAATAATGACACTATTTTCTATTTCTATATATATATATATCAACGATTATTAACCTTCGGGAACATTTTTACCTCAGATTTATCTATTTGTTGTCATTTCTTTATAGGAGCGCCATTTTTCATTGCTGCAACGTGAAACTGAAAAGCTTAAGGCGGACATTGAAAAGATGCGCAACGAGCTTAGGTTTTTGCTGCTTTCTACTTTATTTGATCTTTTTTGCATGGTCATATTCAATATAAACACTGTATATATGTTCTTTTTTCTTGAACAGGTATGAGGTTGACAAGGCGACTTCTGGACAACGTTTAGATCTAAATCTTGAAAGAGGGTAATTTATGACAGATTTTTTAAGAATTCTTTAATAAGTAATTCGAAAATTTTAATGGGCTTCTTTTACTCTTTTACTGGTGGATATTTCTAGTACATCTCCGCATGAATACATAAGTTTGTTTGGATGCAAGTCCCTCTACCTCCCCAACACAAACACACACAAACTTGCAGATGACACATATACATAGCATGATTATAAATTTATATTAAATATTTTATTAATGGAAGTAGAACATAAGGTGAGTTACATATACATAGGTACACAGTGATAGATAAAGAAGGACAATGCCATTTATAGATTGAATTCCAAGCAAACAGATGGTGAATATTTATTTTAATGAAGTCCACAGGCTGAACATGCACGTGGGATCACTACCCTGGGAACCAGAGTAGTATGCCATTTGAGCTATTGCATTTTGATTCATGGGAACCAGAGTAGTATGCCATTTTAGCTAATGCATTTTGATTCATGTGTTAGCATGCATGTTTATGCGCATCTATATACATCTAGTTCTGCACTATGTATGTGCTTCTGCATTTGAGTGTGGACAGCTCTCATCTTAAGAGCATAACCATCCTTCAACTTTCCAACATTAAGTCTTGATGATGGAAAAACTGGGATTTATTTAATTTTTGCTTGTCCAATTCATATGGTGTGGGCTCCGAAAATTCCATTTTATTGTGTGATCCCGGCCTCTCCACGCCATCCATCAATTTTTCTTTTAAAATATTTGTGTGACGATGACGACAGAGAGTTTTAATGAGATTAGGTTCCGAGGGAAGTTTCAGAAGGCAGATTGGGTTTTAGATAATACACTACCCAGAGATTTTGCCCTCATTTGGTGAGGACTTTTTGATCTGAGTTCTGGTTTCCTATAGGCGCAAGCCCCTATAGTTAATTACCCCTCCTGATAACAAGAGAGAACTTTCGATTAAGGCTAGTCATTCAAGCGTTCACATAGGTTATGAACCTATCGTATAATAGCAATAACGGTGAATGAGCAGATGTGTCGTTCCGTTTGGGTATGTCGGTGGAACGAGCAGTTGAGTCGTGCACTGACGTGGAGTCGGTCGGGTTCTCCGACAGTTAGAGGTCAACATATGGCTGTCCAATTAGAGTTGCCACTGCATCTTATCTAGAGCTCCTCCCATCCTTTTGAGATTTTGGTTTAATAAATGTTAGGTGGTGGAAATTATAAATTCAAGTAGGGGCTGGGAACACTGTTGAACGTTATGCGCCATGAACACTTGGATGGAGAGGGAGGGATGGCCATTGATCTATAGCATTGATATCCATATTCTTATCTTGATGATGGAAAAAGTTGGTAGTGGCTTTTGTCTACTGAAGGGAAATACATTAACTTATACACATATTTTATTATCTAGATCTATCATTTATACCCCCATCAAAATTTCTTGTAGTTATATATTGAGGAGGATATGCTCAATTTGCTTATGAACATAGATGCATATAGATCTAAAATATGCTTGTGTTATTGTAAGGAAATTCATTTTTATATGCCTTCACAATAATGAAAATTGGAAAAAACATACCAGCTATATATTTTCTTAGGGAAATATGTTTAAAACTTTATTTTTACACCTAAATATCACTACCTAATGACCGCGAAGTATTTATTTTAAGTTCATCATGGCAGACAAAAAAAAAAAAGTTCATCATGGCATACATTTGTTTGAATAAAGAAATGTTTGGTTCATGTTCGATTTATATTCAAACTATGTGCCATCAATGTTCAAATATGGATCAAATAAAGTTCGAACAAGGTTTAAATAATATTGAACATGGATTATAACATAACAAACTATAAGGTTGATGACATAGATTGAGAGCAATCACGACAATAGGTTGTAAGAGATATAATACAATAATCATAATACAACAGGATGCATTTCAAGAGAGAATACAACGACAATCAGTTGTGCAGTTCAAGATTTGTTATATTTCATAACACAACAGATGTAAATGTAGAACTAATGTTAAGTAGATTAATGAAAGAATAAATTTACACACAAAAAAAAAGTTTGTTACAAAATAATAAATGGACTTCTGGATCTATATTATTGTGAAATAAACCTTCACATAAATGACTTTTGTACAATCAGTTCTAACTTGGAAAATTTTCTTTGAAACTAGATATATGATTTGTATTGCAGACACTTTATGGACACCTGATGTAGGCAGGGGGGGGGGGGGGAAACAAGGGGGGGGGGGGTTCAAAATAAGTTGGGTTGTAATTTTTGTGAGTTTCTTTATCTTCTACTAAATTCAGCTCATTAATGTCTAGTAGAGTACCTTTTTAAGCTCATAATTCATGTCCAAAATTATTCCCCCTTTATTTGGTTCATTCCCCCCTTCCCCGTGTCTCCTCGGTTTTTCCTTCTTGGTGTTGTTTCCCGTGGCTGGTTCCTTCCCTTTTTTGGGTTGGCTGTTCTGGTTCTCCAGGCTGGTTCCGATCCCATGTGCTGCCCCTTCGGTTTCTCCCATGGTTGCTTGTCCCGTGGCTGCTTTACCCAGCTTTCTGTGTGGTTTTTTTTTGGTGCTGTTTCTGGATTAAATGCAGGCCTTCTAGTTCCCTTATTTTGATGATTTAATTAAGGATACTTTGAGCTGTTTAGCTGTCCCATTTCCCCTATATATATTAGAGAGTTTATGAGTTATTTTTGGAGGGGAATGTTATGTGACTAATTTTTGGATAAAACCTGCGGGTTTTCTTGGAAAGGCTTGCGAGCTTGTTATAAGAAAAGCGAGCGGAGGCCGGGGCCGAATTTTCGGAGCCCACACGGGTTTTCTTGGAAAGGCTTGCGAGCTTGTTCCATCTCTTCTAATCTTCTTCTAGGAAAGCTTGGAAGCTTGTCCTCTCTTCTTCGTCTCGAGCTTCTTATCTCTTTCTTCTCTCTGCAAGTTGGACGCCATTTGTATCTTTCTTCTCAAATACAAAGGAATGCAAATTTAGGTGTTGTTATGTTTAGTTTTATTTTCGAATCATGTAAGTGTCTTTTTTATGATATAAAGGGTATTGTTTTTCGTTTTAAGTGGAGTATTTTGTGTATCTTTTATTTCCTAGGAAGTTTTTTTATATGTTTGCAAAAAGTAGGGGTCTCCCTATTTTTTTGCTTGCATCAATTTTGGTATCAGAGCTTAGGTTTGTGTCTTCCTAGGTTCTTTCGTGTTTCTTTTATGTGTTTAAAAAAATAGAAAAAGACAAAAAAATTGAATCAATTGTGGAAGAAAGCAATCAAGAAGATCTTGAAGTCCCTCTTCCAATGGACAGATGGATTCCGACGGAAGGAAGTTCAACAAATCCCCTACAGAATGAACTATACAAACTACAGATGAAGATGCATATGTGCACGGAGCAATATATGAAGAAAAAGAAGCGTCTGCAAGAACATTTTAAGCATGAACGAGATGTTATTCTAAAAAAATATGAAGTCAAGATTCGAGAATTAGATGTGATGCCTTCAGAGCAAACTCAAGCATCATCAGGAGATGAGCTCTTTTAACCAGGGAAGAATTGATGTAGGCAAAGGGGAGGGGTCAAAATAATTTGGATTGTAATTTTTGTGAGTTTCTTTATTTTCTACTAAATTCAGCTCATTAATGTCTAGTAGTGTACCTTTTTAAGTTCATAATTCCTGTCCAAAATTATTCCCCCTTCATTTTGGTTCATTCCCCCCTTCCCTGTGTCTCCTCAATTTTTCTTTCATGGTGCTGTTTCCCATGACTGGTTCCTTCACTTTTTTGGGTTGGCTGTTCCGGTTCTCCAGGCTGGTTCCGATCCCCTGTGCTGCCACTTCAGTTTCTCCCCTGGCTGCTTGTCCCGTGGCTGCTTTACCCGGCTTTCTGTGTGGTTTGTTTTGGGTACTGTTTCAGGATTAAATGTAGGCCTTCTAGTTCCCTTATTTTGATGATTTAATTAAGGGTACTTTGGGCTGTTTAGCTGCCCCATTTCCCCTATATATATTAGAGAGTTTAGGAGTGATTTTTGGAGGTGTGTTATGTGACTAATTTTTGGATAAAACCTGCGTGTTTCCTTGGAAAGGCTTGCGAGCTTGTTCCACCTCTTCTACTCTTCTTCTAGGAAAGCTTGCAAGCTTATCCTCTCTTCTTTCATCTCGGGCTTCTTATCTCTTTCTTCTCTCCGCAAATTCGACGCCATTTGTATCTTTCTTCTCAAATCCAAAGGAATGCAAGTTTAGGTGTTGTTATGTTTTGTTTTATTTTCGAATATTGTGTCTTTTTTTATGATATAAAGGGTATTGTATTTCATTTTAAGTGGAGTATTTTGTGTATACTTTATTTCCTAAGAAGTTTTTTTTTATATGCTTGCAAAAAGTAGGGGTCTCCCTATTTTTTTTGCTTGCATCAACACCACTGCAAATAAGATATTAAGCAATATATGACTATGAAATGATTTAAATTTTATTAAATTATCAAATAAATTAATTTATTGTAGACATGGGGATTTCATCTTTGTCAGCTCTCCTCTACTTCAAAGAAGCTTTGATGAGAAAAGTTCTCTGTTGTCAAATAACTTTGTGTGCTCAAGCAACTTAAAGAAGCACTTGTAGAACAAACTTATCATTGCTTGTAGCGTTGAGGTGCAAGAAGTGTCAGTCAATTTCATGACCTTCGTTGAAAGTGAGATCTCACACATTATTCAATAAACTTTGTTTCCATTTATTTAAAAGTTTTGCATTATCCTTTGATTTCAGAGACTTCTCTCCATAAAAGGACCTGAGTGTTTGTTCAGGCCACTTATCCCACACAAATGATTCTATTAAAATATTCATAGCCTTGTGTACACAGATTGTTGTTCTGCGGTACTAATCAATAGTTTATCCAACACAAACGATGCCAATTTTATAGATCTTTGGGTAGTGCCAGATGTACTTCTTTATTAGAAAACATAAATTATTAATACATTGTAAAAATATAAATCTGAAGTTAGTGCAAATGATATCGAATTTTTCATACTTTCAATGAAGTAAAATATTCATCATCTTACTACCTAATCATGTTGCTGAGGTATTCAAGTGCTGGAACAATATTGCTCTTTCACTACTTATATCTCCTTCCCAATGGAGTTGTCAACTAGTTATGACGTTCAAGACTTGAAGGAGGATAATTGCTCCTCATCAATCTAGCGGAGGAAATCAATGGCACATGAATTTATGAGATTGTGCATCTTTCTTTATGGCTGTGTGAAATCCCCAGATAAATATTTCTTATTCTTTTACATCTTTTTAAACTCTAATAATTTTGTATCACTCTTACATATAATTGCAAGAGATGGACTGACATCCCTTGCCTACTTGATTTCCTGTTATGTTGGTATAATGGCAAGGGATTATTCTTTATATCTGTCACCTCCTCGATCGCCTGCTCCTTCTGCACCTTATCCCCAACCTCAATTGAGTGAATGGCAAGGTCAGTGGCAGGCATCGCCTCCCTGTGATTGTTCCCATCCTGATCCTCCCTATTTATAAAACTATGCAGAAGATGAGTTATTGCTTTTAGTTTCTGTTCTAATTTATTTGATTATTCTTCAACCTAACTAGGCCGCTCCTTATCTCTTTTACAATGACAAAAGTTGCTTTAACCCTTTATAATAGGCCAAGAGGGCATAAATTGACTTGTAGTTCATTTTTCTTCCACTGCCTCACCTACTTTGTCCCAAAAAATAGAGGTGTTTGCTTTTCTCTATACAACTTTATCTAGGATAGGTTGAGTAGCAGTATTTACAATGGACTCATAGAAGTCATCCTCATGAGCTTTATGCACCAACATAGGATAAACAGCCGACTGAAAGTAACAAGGTATGAGTTAAATGATCCATCATTTTCTCATAAATATTTTGATTTTGAGGTAATGAAAATAACTTATAGCTTTATTGAAAAAAATGGCCAAAATCTCTGCTTGTGAACATCTTTTTACTTGTTTAACTCAACATCTTTGATGCACTCTCCTTAAGAAACTTACCAAATCTCTTCACCAGCTTTGGGATGGATTCATAAGCCATTATTATAATGATATTGCGTATCCAATTAGAGTATACTGGACTGGAGCATTCCTCTTCAGGGCAATGGCCTAGTTCATTATATCTCTTTTTAGCCCACTCAATATTTTTTCCCATGCCAGCTTACCTCATCGGTATCCAAAAAATGCCTCCTCATCTTCAACTAGCTTGAGCATCTTAGTGAAAATAACACTATTTATGGTTTTGTAGGATACCATCTACGAAAGAAATGTAACCCAAGCATCCACACATCAGCTATCATAGTGCACTAGATGAAGTCTTTCTCTATGTTTGCATTTTTGTGGGTCTTGTCACGGCCCAAGTAGTTCTCACGCAGCCTTATGCTTCTGCTCATCTTTTGTAACTTCTTAAATGAGAAATTTTAAACTGCAACAGAGTGGTCAAGGCAAATTTTGTCAAATGTGATGTTTTGTCTTACAATGTTGACAATGGAGTATCTCTCATTCTTATCTCAATCAACGACCATTTTCAGTTATAATTGATGAACCAGTGTCCCAGAGAACTATGTTTTAGGAGTTTTGAAGAGCCAAGGAAAGGCGGATCTCATAACTAGGGTTGTAAACAAGTCAAGCTTCACCTTGAGTCATCTTTTGCTTGAGCTTGAGCTTGAGCTTGATTAATTAAATGAGCTTGAGCTTATGCTCAAACTTTATTGTACAACTTCGAATTAGCTAATTTATTATGAAAGATAGAATATTATTATGATTCAAGCAATTATTATGATAAAATAAAAAAAGAATGAGAAATTAGGAGAAAAATAATAAAGAATTACCTAATATAAGAAAATTAAATATAATTTTTAAATATTTTTAATAATTTTGTACTTAAAATTATGAATTCTAATATATATTAAGTACATTTTAATTAATATTTTTTTAAATGAGTCAGTTTTGCTTGAGCTTGAGCTTGAGCTTGATTAATTAAATGAGCTTGAGCTTATGCTCAAACTTTATTGTACAACTTCGAATTAGCTCATTTATTATGAAAAAGAGAATATTATTATGATTCAAGCAATTATTATGATAAAATAGAAAAAAGAATGAGAAATTAGGAGAAAAATAATAAAGAATTACCTAATATAAGAAAATTAAATATAATTTTTAAATTTTTTTAATAATTTTGTACTTAAAATTATGAATTCTAATATATATTAAGTACAATTTATATTAATATTTTTTTAAATGAGTCAGTTTGAGAGCTAACGAGAGAAGTTATGGCTACCTCAAGTTTGACTCGTTAGCTCATTGAGCTGGGCTCACGAGCCATTTATCGAGTTGAGCTCGAGCTGGCTAACGAATTGGCTTGACTCACACCCTTCAACCTTAGAGTCTAAAGGTTTTCGTTTGAGTAGATCTAAACTGAATATATGGAGTGTAATTTTAGTAATAATAGATCTAGCGGGGGATTATGACTTTGGGCGATCAAGTCATTAACAATGTTTAAAATTGTGTATTCGGGTATTGAGGCATTTTTCATTCGTGAGGCGAGGCGTAAGCCTCAAGGCGTTTTGAGGCGTAAGCCTCAAAATCAAAAGATTGCGTAAACATAAAAAGATTAATTTTTTATATACTAATGAGTGAATAATATAAAACATAAAAAAATATAAGATATGAAGTGAAATCAAAATATCCCAATAATAAGACAACATGAAATATAGTTCAACTCAAAATTCTTTCCCAAATCCCAATATTCTTTCCATTAACATATAATTCAAATTTCCAAAAATATATAGTAATGACATATCACATAAGAATTAAGAACTCATAAGTCATCAGCACTGTCATCACTAAGGGGTTCTTCATTTGAATCATCATTATGATGAACTGTTCTCTCTCCTTCCTCCTCTCATATAGAGTCCAATGTCGGGCATTTACTTCAAGATTTATGTAAGTTTTAATATATATATAGCGTGAGGCGTAAGCCTCATGCCAGTGAGGCGAGGCGGGCCTCAACTAAGGTGAGGCGCAAGCCTCATAAAAAAACTTGAGGCGTAAGCATCGAGGCGTTTTTTATTGGAATTGCTCAAAGGCGGGCCTCAAGGCGAGCCTCACATTGCGCAATTTTAAACCATGATCATTAATAAGACACACGTTTTAGATATCTTGGGTCTATTGTTCAGAGTGATGGTGAAATAGATGACAATATTATTAATAGAATTCAAGTTGAATGGTTAAAGTCGAGGAATGCATTGGGCTTATTGTGTGATAGAAAAGTCCTTCTCAAACTTAAGGGAAAATTCTATAAGATGGTAGTGAGAACTGCAATGCTTTATGGTGCAGAATATTGGTCATTAAAAAGAAGCATAATATTAAGTTAAATGTTGCAAAGATGAGGATGCTCAGGTGGATGAATGACTTTACTCTTAGAGATAGAATACAAAATGAGCATATATGTGAAAATGTTGGAGTAGCTTCAGTGGAAGATAAGATTAGAGAGAGTCGCCTTAGATGGTTTGGTCACATTAAATTTGATTTATGTTAAGAAAGATAGAGGTAGACCTAAAAAGACTTGGCTAGAAAATATTAGAAATGACATTTGTTAGATTTAGATGATAATTTGACTCTTAACAGGACACAATGGAGAAAAGTGATTCATGTAGCCTATCCCACATAGTAGGATAAATGCTTTTCATTGTTGTTATAGAGCAGACATCTACATGCAAAACAAAATAATTTAAACGTGCAAAATAATGATTGAATCATAATCGAATCATATTTGAACAATGATCAAACCACATCTTTGAATTATCCACCAATCTTGATTGAATCATTTTTTATCATCATTTGAACAACTTACAAATATTGATTGAATTTTTTTCAAACTATTTTTTCGAACAAATTTTGATCATGATCGAAAGAATAATTGAACCTTCTTTGAACATCGTCTATCAATCATGGTTCAAAGATGATTCGATCGTGGTTTGAATTTTATTTGAATCATGATGGATGATCGTTTGATTATGATATGATCATTGTTCGAAGATATACAATTTCCATTGTGATTTAATCATGATTTGATGATGAAGGTTTTGACTTTATTTGTTAGAAAGAAAGTATTTTGGTCCAAAACAAACTTTTAGGTATATTTACTGAAGAAAATGAATAGTGGACATATTCATTTAATTTTTATTATTAGGAGTGAAATTTCACTTTGTGTATTGTTGGCTCTTCCAGAGTAATGATAAAATAGTGAGATTCCTTTACTTTCAATTTGCCTATGTATATTATTTGAGGAAATAATTTATTCTTCTGATATATATTTTTTTTTTCAAGATGGATTTTATAATTATTGAATCACTTTAAAATTAGTGTAATATAAATTTTGATTGGTTGCTCATATATTGCATTAATATTAAAGTAAATTCAACGACTTTGAGATCAATTATGACCAAACTTTAGTCAAAGTATTACCACCCCAATTTTTTACATTTATCTATCAGAGTTTAAATTGCTAGTGAAATATTATTCGAGGATTATTACTTTGTAAAGTTTGATAAAATTTCATTTTCTCCTCTCATTCTCCATGCCCTATTAATGTAGGCGCTTGCGTGACGAGCTTGCCAAACAGACGGCTGAAACATCTGACCTCACTAACAAGCTTGATCGAGTATTCTTTGAACTTAAATACATTGAATATATATATTTTTTGAATGGTTTCTTTGCATGTTTAAAAAATATATATATTTTAATTTTCAGGAAATTCATGCCTTAAGGGCCCAATTGGAGGCTGCAAAATATGACGTTATCAAGTATTGCGTTGGTACCCTGGTTTCAATATCTACTGTTGGTCTGGCTGTTATCCGAATTCTGATGTAGCAGCATTCTTTTTTACTGAGTGAGATAATACAATTAAGTTAATAGATGCTCAAATATATTCATTCTTTCTGATATGTATGAATGCTCTCAAAGGCTGTAATTTTAACCTTTGGCATAATTTTTTTCCTCCTTTGCTAAGCTGGAAGCATTATGGTGAAATCCAGTTGTAGCTCCGGTTGGTTCTCATTGCTGGATAATTTAATTCAAGTTTTTTTTCTTAAACATTTTAATTTTGGGAAATTTACATACATACCACTTTATAACATCCTATTTACATATCTAATACCTAAAATTTTAATATTACATGCATACCACTCAATATTATTTTAATATCAAATATACCACTTATATTTCTTTCCTACTAATATATTTCATTTCTACTATTCTTATTTGATATGAAAATGAACTATGAGTGGTATGTATGTAATATTAAAATTTTAGATGTTAAATATGTAAATAGAATAGTATTAGGTGTTATGCATGTAAATCTCCCTTTAATTTTATATACTCGCTAATCTCTTTTCAGCTTGCAACATATATTTCGTCCATAATTCTCATATTTTATGAGGATTTAGTGTAAAATTGCCTTAAAAGTACTGTGATAATTAGATTAGATTATCAAGCTGTTCTTATAATTAGTTTTTTAAACTCAATTTTGATGTGCACTGGAATAATATTCTCCTTTTGTGTCATCTGCAAGATTATATTGTGAGCTTGAATCCTGGAAAGTGATTTGATGCTCGATGATGGTCTATCATGAATGATTGATTTGATTTGAAGATTGATTTATATGTGGTGAATTCACAGCACATGCACCAATATTAAATTACCAAAATTAATACACCTTCGGCAACAATATTGAAAATGACTATGGGTGTTATATATGTAATATTAAAGTTTTAGGTGTTAAATATGTAAATAGAATAATATAGAGTGGTATGTCTGTAAATCTCCCTATTATATAATGACTTGGATTGACAACAATGTACATTCTAACCTGGTAAAAGAGGATATGCCTTTGGCAACAACAGCATTACAAATACTAAATTCTAGCCTAGCAATGTCAAAAAATAGTCTGTAACAGGAATCAAAGAAGATGGTGTAAAAATAGTAGAACTAATGCATTTCAAATCATCACTTGTCATGATGAAGCAGAATACTTGTTAGGCCTCCAATCTGATTTTTCTGCAGTGATTATTCCTTCTTTTTCTTTGGTGAAGGTCAGTTGAACCTTCCAGTGCAAAGATTTCAGCAAGCTTTCAACTTCACTGGTAACAACAGATTCATCCCTGACTACCAACTTGCCGCCTGGCCTTGCAATCCTGTCAATCTCAGCTACAACTGGAACAATGCTACACCTGAAAACCCGGCATGGTATTTTTCTACTGATTTAGGTAAATTTATACAAGATTCATAACTTTGCATTCATCATAATTCGACTAGTTTACCTTTCCTTCAACTTAGAGAAGAGGTGGTCGGCATGAAGGAGATCGTAAGTTCGGGGATAAGTGCTGAAGGATTCACACCAGTCATGATATATGCCGAAAAGCCCGCGCTCATAGATGACAGGCAGTGTATCTGGAGAATCAACGTTCACAACATTCATGACCCAGACTTTCAGATCTTTCAGAGCAGCAGCAAACCTGAAGGAAAGCTTTGTCAGGTAAGTCATATATGACATTGTAGTAGCATAGTAGCAGCAGAATTCTTACCCTCCATATACAGATCTCATATCCATGACATTTCTAAGTTTGGACCAGTTGATGCCCAAACCATTGAGGTAGGATTTCATCACTATATTTTTCCAGTGCTCGTAGTCGGATTTAAAATCATTGGGAGCTGGTTTTCCATGGATGCCTATATGGGATGCATTTAGCCAGTATGGGGGCGCTACAAGTCTTTTTGGCCAGTCTATGGGCCATTTTGCACCTCTTTCTGCCGCATTAGTCGGCACCCAATGCATGCAAGTTTTTAAAGGAACATTCCTGGGAGGAACACAAGAAAAATTCAAATTAAAGATTTTTCAAGGCGATTCACTGAAATTTTCTCTTTATGATAGAGAGTTTTTTGGACTTTGATCATTTGTGCTTGAGTTCTTAAGATCAATTATAATTCTCAGGAATCCCAGGGCAAGGGTTCAAAAAAAGCTCTTTCCTTGGCAAAGTTATCACTTCTAGAAGGGGATTCAATATCTTTTTAAGCTTTCTTAGTAACAAATTTCCTGAAGATTAATGAATGAGTCCAATCCTAGAAAGGGTAAGCTAATTTCCACCATAAGCCAAATGCATTTCCAAAGAAATCTATCCATCAAATACCAGGAAGAGAAAAGCATAAATAAATATTTTAATGCAGAATTTGAAGTCAAGCCCACAATTAGAAAAGTATGATGAGAATGCAGAGCAAGATTATGTAAGTTCTTCATCGATGGTTTTGGTAATAATAGGGATAATTGGTAGCTTACTTAATCTATATTGTCAAAGCCCTAAACCTAAAGTTTCATATATGCTTAAGAACAAATTAAAAAAAAAAAAGAGAGTTTTGAATTGCCAACTCACCAAGCTGCATTTGGATCATCCCCTTTATCACACATAGGAGGATTTTGATTCTTCCTCTTGTCATAACATTCATTCGTAGTGGGTTTCCTATAAATAGCTGCAGCAATTCCATTTAATTTATCCTTCTTGATAGTGACTAGATCCCAACACATTGATATGGTAAGAGATGTCATTGCTGAAATAAGAAGAAACTCATCAAATTCTATTCAACTGGATTCACTAATAAACTAGGCTTTGGTGTGTAGAACCCTCAGACCAAGAAATCACCTTTCCATATTCCAACATCTTCCTTCAGTTTTTGATAAACCGGTGTGGCCGACCACACGAAATAACCGCCAGGACGCAGAACACGATTTAGCTCCAGAAGGAGCATGCCTCCTGCCATCAGAGAACCACAATAGGATAATTGCAAGGCAACACAAACAGTGACTGACAGGAAACATATCAAAGTGGAATGAATACCATCTGCATGCCATGGGACTCGACACCTTGCACAGTGAATAAGGTCAAAAACATTGCTAGGGAATGAAAGCCGGTGCGAGCCCATTACTGCAGATATCGCAGGAATTCCTCGCTCGAGAGCAAACTGAACTTGTGCTTCATGTTCATCCTTTGGGGCAAATGACATTGTAAGCACATCCCGTTCGAAAAGATAGCCGCCAAAGCTTGCAACCCCACAACCAACGTCTAATACAACACGGATACGCTTTCCCCATGAAATATCACGCAGAGACTGCAGCAAGAGCGAAAGTGTCATGAAATAGAACAAACAAGGAAGAAAACAAAGCTTATGTTTATTGATTACGCTTGACGACCGACTTAGTTTTAAATGTTTATCTATATTATATAAAAGCACTAGAGCAAAAAAGGAACTAAAATGGATGATACAGTAAGGAAATTCTGATAAAAATTTAATACACTACGATTTGGCCCTGTAAGCTTATTTTTTGTATTTTTGGTTTTAGAAAATAGCTTACCTTGTGAGCTGCATCAAAGAAGAGTTCTATAAGATAGTTATATATAATGAATGAAAGGAAAACTAGTCCTGAATGATATTGCTAGATCTTGTCATATAGCCTTATCCAAGTATTTGGAATCCTTCTCCGTGGCATAAGTGAACTTTATTTTGAACAATTTATAGTTATTTTTAACACTAGACTAATCATTTTCTTTTCTAAATTTTCTGCATCACTTATTAGAGCATCTTCTGTCGTTGTATATGCTGAAACATTTTATATGTATGTTTCATTTGATGAATGATACTCTACGAGTCCTTTGTATAATTAGTTTTTATTCCAATCTTACAACATTTACCTCACTATATGTTAGCATTTGCATAAATATTACAAAAAGATACTTATTTAAATCAAACCCTTGATATAAAACTATCGTGAGTAGCAACTCTTTTGTTACTCTGTAATTATTTTTAATATTAATCATTCTTGAATCATAAATCCTGCAAAATATAAGCATATTTCAAGCATTTTTTTTTGCTTTTGACATGCATATTTTTTCCTTAATACCAAAGAAATCAATTACCATAGTACTCCATTATAAGGTTTATAAAGATCAGTAACTATGAAAATTTTCCGTTAATTGCCTTGATTAAAATTTGCATTCACGCCAGATGTACCATAGTACTCCATAATAAGGTTTACATTAGAAAAAGATAATGCATTTTCTTAATCTTTATACTTTCATCAATGAAATTTGACAACTACTACTGCAACATCTTCACAACTCTGCAAATCTCAATTGATATCTCATTTATACATTTTTTTTTTCCAATTCAATTTTCAGAGTTAGACCATTGTAGTATACTTCACTATTTGTGTATCCTCTTATTTAACAGTGAATGTTTTACTTTCTCATGTCATGAACATAGGCCATTCTCAATCGAACCACACAAACTCAGTGTTCTTCATCTCTCTGGTTATTTTATTATGTGTGATGCTAGATTTATCATTTTGTTTTTTAATTTAAGTTGATCTTGTTGCTCTCTTTTGTGCTTTCAGGTGTCGATTTGAGCCAATCAAAATGAGAACTTGCTAATTCAGGCTTCATTTGGGCGGATAGTAGAAAAATTAAAAATTTTGTACTAAAAAGCTGCATTAAGAAAGCAGTAAGAAAGCGGTCCCAAACAAAACCTAAATCTTATCTACAAAAGAAAAAGGAACAAACGCACTTCCTTCAGAAAGAAGCAAGACATATCATACCTGCCGAATGAAGTCAATGTAATGCAGAGCCCCATGAATGAACTGCGTTCCACCACCAGGAAATATAAGGTACTCTCTATCTACTTTCACCCAATTCTGATGCCCCTTCACCTCAGCAAGTTTAGTTCGTGGAACATTATTATACCATATCTAATCAACAAACAAAAACAAACAAACAATCGAAATTAAATCCAATAAACGAAGATAAATATCTACTGCAGCAAAATCCTCTGTAAAAACAACCTTATCCCTGCTAGCAGGCCATTCAATCGACCTCTTATACCCCTTAGGAAGAGGAACAAGACAAGTTGGGCTTTCCTCAGGGCAATGGCGTTCTCTGTGCTCGTAATGCTTCAGGCTATTTAGCTTCTTGATAGCCTTCGCATTGTCGAGGCAAGGAATGTAGTCAGGACCCGCAGTAACATTGCATAGATCCCAATCGATATCTCTAATCTTGCTTTGCTCCTCTATCAGGATTTTGGTGAGATTCTCTTGCCGGCCATTGTTCCCCTTTTCCTCTTCTTGCTTCTCGTCATCTAGATTCTGAGAGGAATCCTCTTCGGAAGGAGGTACGGATCCAGTCTGTGGGATGTCTTTAAGAAGAAAGCGGTGTTCGGCGGCGGCGGACGACTGGGATAGGGAGAGAAGAGAGGAGGAGGAAGAAGAAGTGAGCGCATAGACGGCGAATAGGCAGAGGGAGACGAAGATGAGTAATACGGCGGTGGAAGCCGATGAGGAATAGGAAGACGATCCCCGCTTTCCTCCGCGAGAGTTCTTGCTGAAAGCTTTCATTTATGAGCAATGGAAGGAAGGAGAGGGATAGAGGCCGAGCGGCGATGGCGGGCAAGAGTTGAGCGATCAAGATCCAAGATTCCGGCGGAAGATGTCGAGATTTCCGGCGTTCCTTTGCGTTCGCGCGATGCAGCTGGATTCCACTGACAAGACGCTATGAGTGGTGGAGCCCTGGTTGCTGAAGGTGAAAGATATACATATCAGTATCATTTTTTTAATATTTAAAATTAATAAATATAATAAAATTATTTTAAAAATATTAAGCTCAAAAGTTGAGCCTCATCAAGCTCGAGCTGACTCGGCTTACTAACACTCCTATTGGAGTCAGCTGCAAAAATAAAAACAAGATTTCGTGGCAATTTTTTATTATTTTTAGCAAATAATTTTAAAATTATTTTAAAAATAGTAAGAAAATCATTCCAATCAAAGCATAAGATTGTTAGCACTCCCATGAGCTATTATTACTGCCCCATGAAACTATCTCCAATGCCTTCCCAGCTTGCCTTCTGCAAGACATCCGGAAAGAAAATTATTCAGATGTGTGAGTGTACATACTGTGTATATAATGCAAATCAAATCTGTGTACATATTATGCACACTCACAGTCCGAACGCATTTTGTAATTCAAATGTCAAACAATAATTTTTCATGTGAGTTGCAGTTAGTTAATTAACATTTGCGTGAATAATAATCTGTTCCTGAACGAATGTGATTTTTCTTCTTGTTTCTAATTTCTGTATTTGTTGTCTTCTTGACCTGTTCATTAATAACATACATCAATGCTGCTATATGACAGATTCTATACTATTGGAGAAATTATTGTGTACGCAGTCCGAACGTAGAATTGTGTTCGGATGCTGCGTACACACTGCTTATTTCACCTCGTATTTTTTGATACATTATGTTTTATACGTATTTTTTGCGTATTTTTTATATATTTAGTGAGTATTATTTATTTGCTAATTATTTCCCACAAAAAAATTATGTCTCAAAAAATACGCAACAAAATAAGCAGTGTACGCACATCCGAACACATTCGGATTGCGTACACAATAATTTCTCGTACTATTGAATCTTTTGTTCGTTGAAATGTCACATTTGTGTCCCCTCTCACTCAATTAATGCCATTATAATGCATGAATTGAATGTATCATACATTAATTTCAATAAATTATGTAATAGTAAAAAAATTTCTCAAACTAAATATGAAAAACCAAATTATCAGCAGAGGTTAGAATATAAATCAAAAATTAAAATTAGATTATATGATTGTCAATGAAATGTGATGTTAAATTAATTATAGAATTATATATATAATAGTCAATTTTTTGCAATATTTTATTTTTTTTTAGAATTAAAAAACTCATTGATTTGCATAGGTTATGATCATAATCTTAAGAATTCAATAAAAAAAAAAAATTAGGAGTGAAATTCATTATAAAATTTGATATTTAAGTGAAAACTTAAAAAATAAATATAAGAGGATGTTAGTTTATACAACATTTATAACACCAAGCCTTTATCCTATTCTATGAGGTCTGCTGCATGAATCATTTTTCTTCATTGTGACTTATTAGAATAAATTTAATAAAAAAAGTCATTTATTTTCTAGCTAAATTTTTTTAAGGTTTACCTCTATTTTTCTCGATATAGATCAAATCTAATACATCTATTCTCCTAATTGAGTCATCAAAAGTCCGACATTTTGCAAACATATCAACTTTAGCTTCATGATTAAAGCAAACATACCACAATAGATTTAAGAAAGTTGGACATTGTACACAGAAAGGCTGAAATTATTTCTGTACAAATGACTAAGAAATGATTGCAATTTGAATGCTGCTGCAGCTTTGATCATCTTCCATTCCAGACCAGTACTTCTACAAAATGAAAGGATGAACAAACTTACCACCTAAAGCTTTTTTACAGTAAAAACATTTGAACAAACATGCAAATGAAGAGGAAAGCAATAAAAGCATTTTGCCTACCTCTTACCCAAATTCATCTACAAATGTATGGCTACAATTCAAGCTCACAAAATGTATTTGCTTCATTTCTTTGTTTTGAAAGCTTTATTTCAGGTGACAAACATTCAGAGAGCCTTAGACCATCTCCAACGGAAAATCTCATTTTCCACTCCAAAATGCTGTGAAACTAAAAAATGCCGCGATTCATCTCCAATCGAACTCCATTTTGCGAAGGTAACGGTCTTTCTCTTCTTTCCCGCGTTTCTTGGCAAGTTCGGTAGAGGCAGAAAAATAGCGATGATGAACAGCGCAACGTCAATATTGGCGTCCCACTGTTCACCCGCAAGGAAATAGCAGAAGTTTTACCGTTCGGCTGGAGCTCCGGGGCGACGGCATTCAAGCGTTTAGAGTTCCGTTGGAGATGCTCTTAAAGAGAGTGCTTGCAGTGGGGATTACCTTAACTGTAAAACATGAATGAAATCCACTGAAGAAGATTAACAAAAAATCTTGGAGCAGGACCAAGTTGCATTCCTAGACCACTGCATTTTTGCTGTTTTTCCCCATTGTATGGATGCATCATATTTAGCAGTACCTTGCCAACCAAGAAGAAAAAACTGCATCAAACTTTGGAAAAAGAACATTTGCTCATGGCTGAAAACTAAATTTTTAAATAAAACTTTTTCAAGTGAACTTTTAAGCTTTCCCTAGTTGAAAACCAGTAAGAAAAAAAACGACCCTATATTAGGGTCCGTTCGAAGAAAAATTATTCTGTGCGGATGCCGAACGCTGTCCGGAGATCAATCAAATGATACCGCTGACGTGATTGCACCTGATTTGCCTCCGGACATAGATCTACGTCCTGCATCCGCAAAGAATAATTTCTCCCGTTTGAAGGGGTCTGCAACTTTTTGTAAAAATAAGTATAGAACTATTGTGATAAAAATAAAAATTTTAAAAGCTTTGCGATTGTTATCATTTTTTTCTTCTTGAAAAAAAGTCGAAAACAACTTACAAATCACACTCCAAGAGATCCGGTTGAGAATTTTTTTTTCTAATCATATAAATTTCTCATAAGTAACAAGAAAGTTGTACCCAAATAAAAATAAAATAGCAAAAAAAACTGCTCCTTATAGACCCTTGGGTCTTTTGAGCTGACAGAAACAGTTCAATCAGATCAACACTATCCAGTTTAATGGAAGCAATCATACCTTAAATATGACTTCAAGGGCAAGTGAAACTACAAATTGGTTGATTTTCATATGAAGCAAGTCATTGCTGTGAGCCCTTCAAGGCTTGTACAAGTCCCTCTGTTCTTAACTGGATTCCCTTAAGGTACTCAGTGAGGATACGCTGCTGGTAGGAGCCTCCTTCCTATGGTAAGAATGCAGAGAGGGATATTAAAATTGTTATATGCGAAAGAACCATAATATAAATAACAAAATGAAACCCTCTAACCGTTCGAATCAAGACTCGTTCAATTCGCTTTTTGATGACAGTATAGAGTTCCTCTGGCGAAACCAGATTAAGTCCTTCAATCAACAACTTGTTCCAGCTCTCTTCAGGAGCTACAGTCGGAAAATTACAGAATGTACACATAAGAAAAGCAAATCAAGTCTCTCATTTAGTCTTTGTTTGAGACGGCTTTTTTATTGCTTATAGAAGTAGCTTTTTAGTATAAAAATTAAAATTTTGTATAAGAAAGTTGTTTCAATAAGTAGGAAAAAAGCCGTCCCAAACAAAGCCTTAAACAAGGTTATTTGTAGCTCGAAAGGAATTAAAAAAATATGCAATTGCAAGAAGCGGGCAAAGATGCTAAAGATCCAGAACAGTTATCAGAATCAGAGAAATTGCTTTCCGATGACCTGGTTAGGAAAGTTGAGGTATTAGATTTGACTTTTGTTAAGAAAGGTAGAGGTAGACTTAAAAAGACTTGGTTAGAAAATATTAGAAATGATCTTTCTTTATAAGATTTAAATGAGAATTTGACTTTTAACCGGACACAATGGCGAAAAAGGATTCATGTAGCCGACCCCACTTAGTGGGACAAAGGCTTGATGTTGTTTTGTATCAGACCAGAGAAATTGATTAGACGCAATGCTATGCTTCCTGTTAAGAAGATAATGTACAGCTTACGTAAAAAACTGTATTTAAATACTCCAAAGGCTGCTTGATTGTTGTTTAGAAATTTGAATATGAACAAATATTGCAGTGAATGCACTGTTTTTAAATGTTTTTATCACAGCTTGAATGCCATAATACAAAATATGGACCACGAGTATAGTTGTCATCATTAACAAATTAACTAACAAAAACATTTTCTGACATTCTCGACACTATACATATAGACCTTCACATTCCAGTGATAATATATGATATCAGATAGAATTTACCTTCTATTATAGATTCAAGGAACTTCTCTGCCTTCAAAACCTCACCTCCTGCAGGACATTAAGGGCGTAAACAAGAAAGAAATTAACATATATTCTCTTAAAAAAAAAAAAGAAAGAAATTAACAAACTTAAGAGAAAAATGTCGCTGTTAGAAGGAAACTGCAAGATCTACAGTCAAAGCACGTTGCTAGAACTGGCTTAGGCTTTGTTTGGGATAGCTTTCTTCCTGCTTCTTAAAGCGGCTTTCTAGTACAAAAATTTTAATTTTTAGAAAGCCGCTTTAAGTAGCAGTAAGAAAGCCGTCTCAAACGAAACCTTAGAAGGGTAACAAGCTAAAAATTAGGGGACTTTCAGCTACAGTTAAACACAAGGTAAGATTATTTACTCTGAGACAACGTAATTTTCCGAGGCAATGGAAAACAGATTAATAAATGCAAGAAGGAAGAATATAATCATTATTTAGCAAGTGTGTTTCTGATATAGAGCTTAGAGTCATCAAATGAAAAGATATAGCTCAAACCGTGCCTATAATGCCTTGGATTTAAGCAAATAATCTATAGGTTTTAGTGAAGTAAAGTGAAATTATTAAGGCATAATTTTTCTTAAAAAGAAAGCAAAAACAACAAAGTCAAATAAATGAAAGAAGTGAGGGACAGTAATGAAAAAGCATTGGAAAAAGTAATCCTAAAAGTTCTTCAGCTCTCTAGAGAGAACAGATGTCTGGTACGCATATCTTGTATAATTTAGAATATTATATAAGGCAACCAAGCATGATGCACTCGGATGACCAAGCGCCAAAAAACTAAAAGAAAATGGCAGGTTACTTTGAAATAGAAATCGATATATTTTGACAGAGATTCAAACATTAGACCACATATTTGATGAGTGGTGTAGGTTTATTTCATTTTGGACCCTATCACATTGTACACATTCTCAATTGTAAATGGGGTTCTCTAGTGAATAAAAAACACAAAAAATCTTTTCTCCTAAACCTAGTATCTTAAAGAGAAAAATTGTATCATATCTGCTGCCAACATCCCGACCTCCACCTTCCACTACAGGAAAATCAACATTTTTTGCCGGAAATTCCAGCGAAAAATTTCTGCTTGAAATTCCCTCATTAATTAGTTAACGTAGCGTTCTCCGGCTGACTTTTTTGTCGTAAAACTTACTTAATTTTTGATGGAAATTTCTGCTGGAAAATCCACCGGCAAGAGCTAAGTTTTGTTCCGAGCCATCCTCCCCTCCCTTTTCAAGTTTTTTTTCTCCCATACCAGAACTCTCAGATTCTTCGTCACTTGTCACCGTTCCAGATGGTTTATAGCTTGTTTTCTTTCATTTCTTTGAGATTTGAGAAGAAAAACTCTCTTTGCTCATTTTTAATTTATTATGATTTGAACCGTTAGATTTTGCTAAAAATAAATTTTTATCCGGAGAAAAATTGAATCATTTTGTTAGTAACCAATGTTGGATTTTTAGTAAGTATTTAATTATAATATTATTAGTACTAATTTAAATTATTTTTAAGATCGTTAGATGAAATTAGTGAAATACATTTTTAATGCCAAATAAATAGCACACATAATGTAATGAACTAATATTATAGAAAGAGGAGTATTCTCTTAATTCTTTTTTCTACACATGTTTTATTTTTAGGATTGTTTATTCAAGTTATACGTGGTTATCCTAGCATTGAGTTGTTGGATGTATAATCGGTTGTTACTGAGACGAAAATCACTACAGATAAATTTAATAAGAGAGTTGAATATTTTATTCATATGACATGTCAACTACCTTCATTTATACCAGATGAAATGTTTAGATGTCCATGCTCAAAACATAAAAATCAAGCTTACTTTAAACCTGATGAGGATAAACTTGATTAATATTATAGAGGATTATCCCGGGTATTGGTTTTGGACCTCACATGGAGAGTATGAGCCACATACAAACATTCAATGTAGTCCCTCAACAACTTCAAGAATAGTAGATGATGATCAAATTAATAGAACGTATAAAAAACTTATTTTTGGTGCAGCAGATCCGAATTTAAGTGGACATATAGTTGAGTTACCTAACATAGAAGTCCAAAATTTTTATGAATTACTACGTGCTGCTTAACAACCAATTTGAGATGGTTGCACTGCTCATTCTGAGTTATCAGTTGAAGTTAGGATGCTTAGTATTAAGACTGAATATAATATTCTTTGAGAGTGCTTCAATGAGTTCATCAACCTACTTAAGTAAATAAAATCCCAAGGACAATTTAATTCTCATAGATTTATATCAGATAAATAAGTTAGTATCAAAGTTGGGGTTGACTATTATAAAAATTGATTGTTGTGTGAACGGTTGTATGTTGTACTACAAGGATGATGTGATAGAAATTATTTGTCGTACTTACAATGCACCTTGATACAAATCAAAATCGGGGATACAATAATAATAGAATAATGTGCCATATTCTCGGTTGTTATTCTCCGCAAGTCACATGAGATTGAATAACGAAAAATTATCTCAAGACGGTGCTCTTTCTCATCCATCAGATGCAAAAGTATGGAAGCACTTTGATCGCACACATCATTCATTCGCTGCAAAATCACGTAACATAAGATTGAGATTTTGTTCTGATGGTTTTATTCCGTACAATTAGGCAGCTTCACTATACTCTTGTTAGCCTATTATATTAACACCTTACAACTTTCCACCTAAGATATGTATGACTACCCTTTATATATTTTTTCCGCTTATTATACGAGGATCAAATAACCCAAAAATCAAAATAGATGTTTTTTTACAACCTTTGATTGAAGACCTCAAGTTGGTGTGGGTAGAACCTGTGCTCACATATGATATCTCAATGTGAGCAGCATTCTCAGATCTAGCATTCAAGAGATTGACATAAAGATCGGAGCACATGCGGAGCATATTTTTAGTGTATTTTGCACTTCTATTATACTTGTATAATATGCTTTACATTCTCATTACATTTTCCTAATGTATTTTAAATTTGCTCTTTACTTTTATATGAGCAAAATTTAAACATTATTATTGTATGTCAAGATGTTTGTTAGCAACAAAATGAGTCATATTTAGCCTAGTAATCAACAATGCTATCAAACAACTTGTTAGCTGATTAAATGAGCTTTATCCAATGTATCAACTTAGTAAAAATACTGATTGGCTTGTTAGCTAACCAAATGAACCCTTTATCGAGATGAAAGAGGCAATAACCGATAGGTTTTTTCGATTGGAGAGAGTTATTCAAAAGGAGAATAATGATCATCGAAGATAATGTCTTGTCTTTACCTATTTTAATGTGTTTTGAAGAAGTTCATCTACCTCCCTTTAATCAATTAATTTTTATTATCATGGGCTCGATGCCCTAGGGTTATCGGTGTTAATGAAGAAATCATCTGAAAGTATGGACAAAAGTAATTTTTGTTTATATCATAATGATCATGATCACTATACAAAGAATTGGTTAACACCAAAAGTCATCTTGGAAAAGCTTAAGGAGGTGCTCTTTAAGGGGTTGAGGAGAGAAAGATTGCCTGAACGAATCATGCTCTTAAAGCCAATTGGCATAATGACAATATTCAAGAAGTTACATATGCTATTTTCATGTTTATAAGAGCTCTTGTTTATAACTGCATATTCAGTTATCCACTAATCAAATTCTTTTAAGCAGTAATGTTTACCAAACACTTCTCCATGAAGTTCCCTTTAATGCCAAAATGGATCCCAATGTCATAAGTCATTGTATAAAGCTTGGCCCATTCGAGATTATTGTATTTTGAACTGATTTTAAATGTGGTGATGTTAAAGTTCAATGATAAGTTTATAATGCACAGTGACTTCAAATCCCTCCTAAGATTTAGAATAATCTCCTATTTTATTTTTATTTTTATTTTTTTAAATTAAATTGGGGGTACTTTATCATTTAGATTTTTGGCAGCCTCCTAACATTCCTTCCTTGGAAAGAGATGTTGGGATGACACTTGCCGTTATTTTTCTCGCCTGGATCAAAGATACGATGGCCAGGGTCTTCAAATCAAAATTTCCAACCTTGATCAAAATACAACGGGGGTGTGGCCTTCAAATTATTTTTTTATTTACTTTATTTTATTTATTTATATTATTTTTTATTTAATATTTTCTCGAAAATCCAACAGCCTCCCAACATCCCCTCCCCGCAAAGGGAGGTTGGGACGGCACTTGCCGTTGTTATTGCCTAGATCAAAGGTACGGCGACATAAGGTCTTCAAATCAAATTTTTCCAGCCTAGATCAAAGATACAACTATGTGAGGCCTTCAAATTAAATATTACAGCCCGTATTAAAGATACAACAATGCAAGTCTTCAAATCAACAGGTACCTGTTTAATTTTATTTTATTTTTTTAATTTTTTTTTTTAACAAACACTTCTCTGATGCAAGCATACTCAAGGGTAGAAGATAGGATTTGAGGTCAGAAATAGGCCGAAGAGGTGCGGGCACGGTCGTGGGCTTACGCATGGAGGCATGCTCGTGCGTGGGCGCGAGTGAGATCAAATTCGGGTTGGCAAGCTTGTGTGCGAAGGCGCACGCTGGAGTGGGTCGGAGATCAGGTCGTGCATGCAAGAGAAGGAAGCAAACGGGCTGGAATCTAGGATCAGATGGGTTGCGCAGTCAGGGATCGAAGACACGTGAACAAGATCATGCAAGCGGGTGTCGGGGTTGGAGATGTGAATGTGCGGGCACTGGTGGTCTCGCATGCGGGGTTGATTGAACAGAGGGAAAAGCGAGCGAGTGTCTTCCTTGCATGCGAATGAGGGAGACGAGCGAGAGGGAGAGAGAGCCGGTGACTGGGGCTTCTATGTGTGTCCAAGAAAGAACGAGAGAGAGAGAGAGAGAGAGAGAGAGGGTGTCTCTGCATGTGAATCAATTGAATAGGGGGTTTCTGCACGCGGTTTTGTGAAAATGAGTGGAGGCATTAGTTCAGTTGTGTCGTTTGGGGAGTGAATGGACATGAGGTGGGACCAATCAGACTATTCAGTAGTCAACAGGGATGAAAACCATAAGGGCCACAGATAGAGCCGCATAGGTAAATCAATGCATTCCAGCGCATGGAAATCACAGAACTTCCAGCGTGCAGATGAAACTCAGCTGCAATTCCCAAAGGAGTAGAACTTCTGAAAAGTGGATGAAGCGAAATTCTAAAATGGCTAGAAAGAAGCAAAGAAACGGATGTACTAAATGGGGAATCAAAAACAGCTGAGGAAATCAAATGATTGAATTGAGACAACTTGCAGCAGTAAACAAAACCAACTAAGATACTTAAAACACTAGAGAACACATTCCGTTCTCCCATCAACATAATGAGCATGTTACATTCAAATAAAAAGCTAAAAACTAAAAATAATGCATATAGACAACTAAGGAATATCACCGTATATGACTTGTGTTTCCAATAAATAAAGACTTTTATCTTTACATCAAAAACATTTGTCCAGTGATTTTTTTCCTACATCTTGGAAGCTGATCAATTTAAAAAGCAGATCTACCATTAATACTGAAACTTTCTTCTGCTAATAAGGTGTTGAATCCCTTAACAATACAAACATTAGTCATGTTTTGATGGTTTCCGTTACATGAGCATTTAATAATAGTTGGCGTAGCAGCACAAAGCAACCGTAGCTAACAGGAAAACAGGGAAGAAGAGAAAACAGCAATAACAAGTAGGAAGGTGTTTAATTGCATCAAAATACTATCTGTTCTCCTCCCCTTCGTTCTACATGTGTATATTCTTCTATGAAGTCGTTACTATATCCGTGCATAAAATACTAAAGCAAGAGAATAATAATGAACTGTAAAGGGATAAAAAGCTGTAATAGTAACTAGTGGAAGTAACAGAAAGTTAGATATTAGTGATATAATGTCTTCCTCTCCTTATAATGCTCCGCATCAATTGTGCTTAATGAACATCTTTTATACTTCAGCCTCTCAATGATTAAAAAAAAATGATTGAATTGGTGCATCTTTTATGCTAAATAACAGCCATCAGCTAATTCTTATATTTCATTTAAGAGCTACTCTACTCTTAGCAAAATTTCAGAAAGTAGTCTCACCTTTGTATGCATAACTCCGCTTACCAAGAAATTTGGAAGCATAAAGCTGCAGGACCTTTCGCAACATAGCCGCAAGACCTGGCTTATCTCCATCTTCTGTGGCCTGCAATGCCACGTGAGGAAGAAGAAAATATTTCCATTGCAGTTAAATGAGAGAAAAAGCTAAGGATGTAATTCAGATCAACAGGAAAAAAAAACTGAAAAGAAAAATTGGAAGTTAATGGCTAAGCGAGTATTTTAAACCATAGTCTTTACCATTAGAAATATAATTGAAAATTACCAATAGAAAATAATTGAAAAAAAAAAATAGCATACCCAATCTATGCCCGCATATATGGACGAGCCTCATACAATTCCTCACCAAGTCACCACACCTATGGATGATCTCCATGTATAAGACTTGCGGTCTCCCTCGCGGTGTGACCTCTCTTAGAAAAAGGTCCACTATGACTGCTCTTGCTCCCTCTCTCCAATGCTTGAATCTTCCACTCTATCGCCACTTTGCCCGCTCGAACTTAGCTCTTGCCCGTGTCTCTCAGTCTCAGTCACAATCAATCGCCAATGTGTCTTCTTCATTCCCATCGACTCGCCACTTAAGATTTCATCCATACGTTCGTCCCCAATGTCTCTCCATCACATGAACAAGTAGTGCAAATCCTACCAAAATCATCTTCCAGAGTGTAGTGACCCTAGGTTGACCTACACCTATTGCATTTCCCTGCATCTGTGTGGGCTCCGAAAATTCGGCCCCGGCCTCCCCTCTTTTCTTTTTATTCGGCGAGGGAGTTTTAACTGAATAAGTTCTGAGGTAAATTTTGGAAGGTAGATGGGTTTGTAGATAAGACACTACCTAGAGATTTCGCCCTCATTTTGTGAGGACTTTATGATATGAGTTCTGGTTTCCTATAGGCGCAAGCCCCTATAGTTAATTACCCCTCCCGATCACGAGAGAGAACTTCCGATTAAGGCTAGTCGTCAATTAGATACATAGAACATACGTATTATCTGGCATATAGTAGCAGCATGGGTATGGAATTTGAGAACTGGATTTGGGAATTTGGGAAGTTTGGATATTTGGATAGAGTTGATATTTAAAACAGAAATTGCACCATCTTGCAGTTAAAGCGGATGGTGGGGGAATGGATGATAGACCCGATCAAGATCCCATGGTTCCGTCGTCCCGGGCCATCGTGGTCCCTGGTCTACTTAGTCATAGGAGGTAGTCGACACAGCCTGACAGAAGGATCCTTGTCGGCAGCCATGGGTTGCTTCGTCCAAGGGTACCTTATAAGCCTGGGTTGGATGTTTGTCTAAGGGGACTAATTTGAATCAACCTTAACTAACAGAAGGCTTTATGCCCTATCGATCATATCCTATTGATTCATATCTCAAGGATTTGATGTCATTAAGGAGTGTATTGGCTCTGGCCATAACCGGTATTTCGTGGTGCCATTTGGTGGCAAAACCACTCGGTTCAGAGGGCCCCGGGTCATAACCGTTTATCCTGCGGTGTCATTTGGCTGCAAAATAGCCGGTTAGAGGGCACGTACCACGTCCTTACTGGCAGGAGATTATTTGAGAATGGATCCTAGTGATATTTTCGACTAGGCATTTGGCTCTTTGTGAGCTGAAGTAGTTTTTAATTTGTCCACCTCGACAAACTGTTGTGGAAGGTGGATGGATTTTGCTTTAAGTGATTGATATTTTATTTCAATTTTAAATATTTTTGGATTTTAATGATTTTGAACTTTAGAAGTTTTGGATTTTTGGATTTTTATGGGCATTTGAAGTATTTGGAATGGAATTTTGAGTACTTGGAATGGACCCCTCCGGTTAAGATTTATTGTTCAACGCGGCCATCATCGGGGTGTTTGGGGTCATTTCTCTTTATGGATTAAACCCTGTCAACTCGACCAAGCTATTGATCGAGGATCGGGTTTCTTGTAGGCTTTATGTCTTTATTTAGTGAATTCTTTTGATAATAGGCCTTGAAGACCTAATATAAATGTATTAAAACAAATATACCGGTCGTCATAACCTTATAGTTGCTTGATTATTCGAACCATGTCGACTTTATTGACCCGTATAGAAGGATCGGGTTCGAACTTGAATTCACTTATTGACCCGCGCAGCATCTCTAGGCGTCACGTGTGTTCCTACAACACGCTCGTCGGGGCCCATGCGGATGTTTGATTGCTTTTACCCCTTTTAGTGTACTTATGTGTATACAAACTACGGTGCACGTGCGGGGGTACTTTTGGAATATTTATAGACGCCTTCTGTCTGCTTGTACGGAGGTTGCAAATTCGGTGGCGTGGCGTAGCAGCTTATAAATAGAGTTGTTCGCTGCTTTGTACAGGTACTCATTGCTTTCTGCAGGTGGATCGTAGTGCACTAACGAATCTCCTGCTTTTTGTCGTAGGAGCTTGCACTTGTTGTAGTACTTCAATATTTGCACACAGACAATATGTTGGATGCACGATTACTGTTCATCAAGAAATTCGCAAGCCTCTATAATCTTATCCAACTCAATGTTCATAACTTAGTTGAATTGAGATTCACTCAATCTTGATTTGATCTGGCTTTCTCTTTCCAAAACTTGTATAGAAATCAATAAGTGTTTTATCAATTATGTCGTCTTCCTTGTTTTCTGTTATTGACTTGAAGAACCCACCACTTCTACCTTGGATGATTATATCCTTACCAATTCCTTACACTTCGAAATCAGTGACCAGTATCTTGAATCAATAACTTGCCTTTTTCACTATATTACTGATTCTGACATATGGAATGTGGAATGGATCTTTGGTATCAACTTATGATCATTAGCACCTAATGTGTTATCATCAACTTTGATTTGCAAATATGTTATTGTGTCTATATCACAGAATAATCCATTATAGTTCTTTCGTATTTATCCGTAGATAGCACGCCATACGTATGACAAGTCTTCTTTTATAATTCGTAGGCATTTACTACTGTATTTATTTGTAAGCTAGCTCCATATCCATAGGAGACTGTTGTATGCATCTATAAGCAAGTGTAGTCCTTTGATTATTTGTGGGACACTATGTTTCTTGTATATGACCTCTTGGTGTCATTGAGAGTTTGTATGTTAGCTTGTGTTGGTTGTAGGAGAGCAATCTTCAAACATTATCATTTGCGTATGATTGATCAAACATTGTGACTTGCCATTGAATTGCATTTGGAATGATAGTTCCATTCACATCTTGTTCATTCTTCCAATAGAATCCACTGTTGCTCTTCTATTAGTGTTCATTTGAATATATGTCAAATCACATGATATCTTGAATTTGACTAACTCAAGGCCCCAAGTCCAAATTGAGTTCAATTCATGTTTATTTCTTTAAGTCCAAAGCTTGTAAAGTTCAAGCATGAGTCCATCTTGAGCTTATGCCCATAACACTTGGTTCATTTGTTTCTTTGCTCTTATCATTTGATTTTTAAATCAAATGTAAGTTCAAGTTCATTGGATGCTTAAATCAAGTTTGTGTCCTTTGCAGTTTGTTCAAGTCCGAGCTCAAGTTCTATATCCACAAATTTTAGTTCAATGTCAAAGTTCACTGTTTTCTAGAGTCTTTGCAGATTCATTCAAGTTCTTGCTTGAGTCCAGTTCAATTTCATTCGAAGTTCAAGTTCAAGTGCTGTCAACTTGGTTCAAGTCGTTGATGAAGTTCAAGTTTAAGTGCAGTTCTGTCTGAGTCCAACTCAAGTCATCTGTTGTTCTTGTAGAGTTCAAGTTCAAAGCACATGCTCAAGTACTTCCTTGAATTCAAATAACCAACTCAAGTTCTCATTCTTGTTTTGAGTTGAAAGTGCAAATTCAAGTTCTCTTGTAATTGTCTCAAACTACAATCTCAAGTCAAAAGTTATTTGCATTTGTTCAACTTTAGTTTTGAGTTTGAGTTTGCTTAAGTCAATTTGTTCCAATCAAGTTCACAAGTCCGCTGTCAACTTGTCCAAGTCCTTGTTCAAATTCAAAAGTCCACTGTGGTCCGAGCTTGATTCAAGTTTGACTTCAGTTCAATTTAAGCATTCTTGCACATTTTTTATTTGGGTTCAGATGTTTATTAAGTCACTTAGATCTTGTTCAAAGTCCAAGTACAAGTCCTTCATAGTTCTTATGAGTTCAAATGAGGTCCAAGTCAAGTCTCACATTCACCCGAAATTTCGGCAGCCTCCCGACGTCTCCCCCGTTTAGGGAAAAACTACGTAAAAGTGGGTCTTTCCCACCACGCTAAGAAAAGCGTGTATGGTAGGTGTCCTCTTTCGAGGACACCGCGGCCGTGTATTTTTTGATCCCCCAACACGCTAAGAAAAGCGTGTATGGGTATTTTGAAAATATTTTCCAAGAAAAATAATTATTTCCCCGCAAGAGGGTACTTATGGGTATCCCCGCTTCGTCGTATGCATCGTACCGGGCTCCCATCCCACCACGCTAAGAAAAGCGTGAATAGGCGAGGTTTCCAAGGCGATACGAACTTCAAAGAAAAGATTTTAGGTGATTACCCGCTTCGTTGCAAGCGTCGGGACGCACGTCCTCCCATCACGCTGAGAAAAGCGTGTATAGGTGATCGTTGTGTCTCGACGAATGCGTTGAAATGGGTTCTCATAGTTTTTAAGGTTTAAGGAGTTATACTTGCGCGGGGTCGACGGCGTTGGCTCAAAAATTGAGGGAGAGAAGCATTTTTTTATTTTGAAAATTAATTAAAAAGAGATTAATTATAATTAAATTCAATTATAACTAATTATAATCATTATTATTTAATCATGATTAAAAATATTTAATATATAATTAATTTGACTAATTATATTTAATTACCAATAATTATTAATTAATTAATAACATAAAATAATCATTCATAATTAAACTAAAATAATTATAAATGACTATAATTTTATTAATTAACTATAATTAAAGTAAGTCGGCACAGTGAATTTGTGGCTTCGAGCTTGCAGGCTTGAGGAGGACTTGGGAAGGAGAGGTATGGATGCTCTCTCTCTCTCTCTCTCTCTCTCTCTCTCTCTCTCTCTCTCTCTCTCTCTGTGGATCGGAAAGACCAAGAGGTCAGGCAATGATCCCGATCGAGCTGGCTTCGGCGAGATGGGGTCGTGGGGTTCGATCGTGGGCTTCCGGTCGGCTTAGAGGCAGAGGAGGTCGAGTGGAGGAGCGTGGCTTGCAGAGGGAGAAGCAGAGGGCGGAAGTAGCGACGGAAGCTCGGTCGTGGGAGAGGAAGTCTGGAGTCGGACAGGAGGAAGCAGTGAAGGGGGACGGGAGAGATCGAGAGCAATGAAGGGAGTTTGGTCGGCTTGGGAGCAGAGAGCAGCGAGAGGTGATCGATTCGGCGCTGCTGAACAGTGCCTCGGCGTAACTTCGGCGGGATTTGCGAGATCCCGGCGGCAGGGGTATGTTGTGTATTTCCATTTTGCCTTATTCTCTCTTTTATTCCTTTGGGTATAGCATGGAGGTCAACAATCTGATGCTCGCAAAACCTCCTATGCCCATCTCCAGCAACATCCTATTGGCCTCTGTATATAAACCAAAATCAAATGCAAACGAATGCGAAGAGAATGAAAACCAACCGCAACAACATTGTGCATAGCGAACTCAAACCACCAAACATCATCCGATTGTAAAACGGACCGCACTAATGCAATCATGACATCAAAATAGCAAAGAAGAGCAGCTGACCCTCAACTCGATCGAAAGAACAACAAGCATGACAGTGGGCGGGCATGACATTGAGTGAAATTCGCCAAACGATGTCCAATCAAAAAAAGGATTGCACCGACCATTTTGAAACAACAAAATTGGGGAGGATCTCTTGTTATTGAAAACAATGGCCTACGAACACAACATTACATGAAGTCGCCCAAACGATGTTCATTCGCAAAATGGAATTCATCGTTGCATTTGGAATGTCAAAAATACTTAGAAGGGTAACCCATATTGCATTGGTTGTCCGCATGAGTCCAAATTCAAATATTTGCTTGTGTGAGGCGCATGTAAAAAAGAGGAATTTTGCATAGAACAATTAACGTTTCAAATCTTTTTTTTTAATTATATATATAATAATAAAAAGTATTTAATATACCCTATCAAATCCTTTATCCTTGACAAAACCTACATGTCAGCGGCTTGTTACCCCATCCCCTATAAATCAGGCTTTTGTCAGTGCTAATAAATTTTTTTTCCAAAATCCTTTCCTCGACCATACACATGGATTATCTACCCCTCCATGTCTTCTTCTCCTCACACAAACCCTAAACTCCTCCTTTACTCCACCTGAATTATCTCTCATTCCTAGGCCAACCTACTCGTCCTTCCCCGACTATCTACTTTCTCTGCATTGCATAAAACCACCCACCCTAAGACAGTCTGTCACCCTTCCTTCCCTACCATGAATGCATAAACCTACTCGACCAGTAATCCCCAACCTCTTCTCAAATGCACGCAAAAACTAGACCTCCTTAATCCCTAAACTCCTCACCCAAACACGCAACCATGCCTCCTACCAGTGATGAATCTATTAAAGGATGAGATATGATTTTTGTGACAATCTAATCGGACTATTTTTCACTCATTTAATTTTGATTAATAAAGTCAAATGGGTATTGTGTCTATCTAAATTATCTAATTCTATTACGCCTCATAGTTGAGTGGATAGAGGTCAAAATGGGGCATGACAAAAGAAATCGGCAACAACAATAGCTAGGCCTTGTTGGTTTGAATGGGTTCACGCAAAGGCATCAGTTGATCATGAGAGAATGTATCTATCATTCAGCTGTTGATAATTAAAAAGAATATTTTAGATAAGAATAAAAAAACTAATAAAAAATATATATAAACCTATAATTTAGTTCAATTGGAAGAAGAATCAAATTCTAAGGAGACCATATGATCCTCCAAACACAACCTCCTCCACAGCTGCCAATTATTGTTGCTATCTCTAACAAACTTTTCATTAATAACAAAACCACACACCATTACCATTTACCTAGCCAACACCCCCTTGCAACCCTATCTGCTAATTTTGGCCATCATGAGAAGTAGACATTGCTATCGTGATTGGCCCATCAATTGTTATTGTCTTTAGATTTGCATTGTCATCGCTTCCAATCCATTGTTATCATATTCCTCTCAATTAATAATAGTTGATACTCACAATCTAATCACAACTACCCACTACCACAATTGGCAACACTTGCTACAAGTCGATGTCATAACAATCAATATTCTCATTGCAGCTTTGATAGGGCACTCTACAACATTTTACTAACAACCTCTTTGTATCTTGTTTTTCATTCTAAATAATGAAGGGTTGATTCTCTGAGCGAGGCCCTGTAGTTTGTCTTTTGTATTTCCTGTGTCAAAAAACTCTTGCCCCTTTATTTGCTTTATTTATCTTATTGTGTTGGTGAAATTTAAAAAAAATAAAGACGTTCAAGATCGAAACTTACTCTACCGGCTAAATTCCTAGCACATAGCAATGATTAGATATGTTATGAGTGCCACTCATAGAACTATGAGCAGCTTATTATTTTTAGATATTCAGATTACACTATAAATCAAGTGGAAGGCATGAAATCATTGTATCTAATGAACCGAACTGCACTTACTTGTCGCAATTGTGCATTAACCTCAGCAAGGAATCCTTCATCTAGCTGTCCCTCTCGCTCCCTTTTATGTACTTCCTGCTTAGCAAAACAATAGGAAAAAAAGCATAGGCATGAAGCTGGTATATCATATGGGGTCAGGGTTGGAATAGAACTTGTCAATTCGACTGCCATGAAAACAATCTGTGCATTCGATTGTTCAAAATTGCTAAATTCAAATTATTCAGGATAAGTCAAAACCATTAGACAAGAAGGTTGCTCGTTAATTAGAAACGAAATATATACAATAATGCAACTGTAAAGAACAAACAAACAACAAACTTAACTGCAAAAAATATGTTTAGGTTGACTAGCAAAACTAAAGGTTTTTACTGTAACGTTTTCCATCAGAAGGATAAGAAATTATAGAAGAGTAATTTGTGCCCTATGCAAAATGAAATAAGTTTTTGCATAGCTAAGGTTTCAAAGAACATCACAATACATAATCAAGAGAAATTGCAAACTGTAAAATAACTTCAGACAATAAATGTACACAATTTTCCGAAATGATTCTGAAATGTTGGTTCATGATTTAAATGGTTTCAGCAAAGATATGAACTTAAAAGATTTCATCAATGATGTTCTGTAGTTATTAATGTCAAAATAATATGATAAGTATTAATTTCTAGAGTTGGATTAAGCTTTATGGAAGAAGTCAGAACTTGGCAAGGCCTTGGTTGAAACTACAGTTAGCATTGGATTACGAAAGTCTACAGCAATCCATATAATTAGACATATTTTACTACAGTATTCTCTAAACCTACATCCATAAAAAACTTACATTTTGTCGGTATTAAACTCCTAGTTACATGAAAAAAATGCCCTTTTCATGTTAGCAAATTGATAAAAAAGCCTGTAACCTGCCCCAAAGTTTTTCATTTAAATATTTGCATCAAAACTGCAGATTCCCAGGCATTTTAGTTTTTGTCAACATACTTCTTCCATTAGTTTGAGTGCTTCTGGATTTTGAGGTGGCCACGAAACCTCTCGCACTCCATCAACTACAGGTCTTAGGATAGCCTTCAAAATATCTGTTGCGGACTCTATTTTCTCCTGCATAGAAGAATAAGTAACAGATTAGTGAGATCACCATAAGCCAAGCCTTTCACTGTATAAGCAATGAGCTTTAAGGATCCTTTCAGGCTACTGCATGTAGACAAATGATGTTATATCTTGTTTACATACCATTCTCAACCTGAACTTGCTATATGAATCATAAAAGCAAAAGAATAAAATAGATGAATACATTAAATGTTTTTGTATTCTTATGCGAGATAAACTTCAAGAAACCACTCATTTCCAATTTCTAATTGAAAATTACTACCCTAGGTTATGAAAATCTTTCCAATTGAACGAAATTGTAAAGGAGAAAAAAATGACGGCGCTGCTTTGACTAAATGACGAGCTAAAGTTTTTAAATGTGAAGCCACGCCAAGGCTCTCCCTGACTTCACTGGACTGATCCTAATAACTTTAGAGGGAGCCATCAAAAGCTACAAAATTCTAGAGAAGATATACAAGGCACAAAGTTGCATCGTTGAATGTTCTTAATATTGCATTAGATCTAAGGTTGGATATGAGGTACAGTTAAGTCATGCCAAACCTGGAACCGCTGATGCGGACATCAATACGAAAATTTGGCGCATCTATCACAGGCGGCGTCGTAAATCGACGGCCATTATTTAAATTTTCATTTATGTATTATTTTTTGAATTTTAGCTCTTGTTTTATGTATTTCCTATTTTACCCCTAGGATAGTTTATGTGAGTGTTTTAGCCCAAGGGGC